AGAAAGATATTATTAGTTCTAAATAATTTTAATTTGGGAGGCATGTACCACTTGTAATGCCTCCGGTTTGAACCTTGCGATTTCGTTATTTCGTTGGCCTCGTATCGTATCACAAGCACACTTTAATAACAAATTCGGCCATAATAAAATAAGTCACAAATATGCACTTTGGCTCTGGGAATACGAATAATGGGAAAGAGTCAACCATAAAAAATATGTTTCCGAGGGCAATAGAAGACTTTTATACAAGAACAAATTCAAATTGACACTAACGACATAAGAAATCGGGTCACATAAACAAGCTATTTTTTAATTTACTTTGTGATTTTTTATATCTACTTGCCTTTTACGTACCATGTTGTATCCGTTTTTGGGGTTTTTACAGCTGTCAATAATGTTGATGAGAAAAACATAGTTGTAACCTTAGATGGGGTTAACTACTATTGTATGTGGTTGTATGTTGTATTCCACTTCTACTTATAGCAGCAGTATTTTGAAACAAATAGGCTAATGACAATAAAGTATAAAGATACACTTATGTTTTGAAATTACTGACAACTGATATGAAGAATTTTTATCAACCTCAAATGTAAAATAAGGATACAACATGGTATGTAAACAGCATAAAACTAGATAAAATATAAAAGTAAATAAAAAAATAACCAATTTATGTAATCTGACTTCTTATAAGATTAGTGTCAATTTCAAGTAGTTAGTTTGGTTGTAAAAGAATTGAATTGGCACAAGATGCCAAAATTAAAAATATGTATATGCACGAAGCATATATTTTCAATTACTAAGTTGTATCTAGAAAGTTCTCTGATTTTTTTGTATGATTATTAGAGCGAAGTTGGTTTACAAACAGTTCGAAATATAATGTGGGAACAGTTAATATTCATCCGCATATGAGTGCCAGTAACTGCTTCTAATTGCTGTAAGAACAATCATACAGAGTTAGATCTCTTCGATATCCTATCAAAAAGAAAAAGGACCCAGCACTTTTTATATTGATTTTGGATATCGTCAGAATTTTTCAAATTTTAGTGTGTTACTTTTCAGGTCATTATGAGCAACTTTCTTATGGACCTTAAGTTTGCAGCTCTATCGGATGAGCTGTTATAAGGAGGCAAAAGTAAACAGCGCCGAATCAATATGTTCAAATATATCTCCACCACTCATAAATAAAAATAAAAGAAACTTTATTTTTAAAAACATGTTTTACTACATAAATTAACTATTTACACACCATCAAAATCTGACTCATCTTTCAGCAGCATCTAAAATAGTCCTTAATAAAACAGTTGAAGGATACTTTAGGTAATTTTTGAATCGTGCTTATTTAAAGTACCACAAAACATTTGAAATATTAGCACACATGCGTAAAGTCTCTAAGCCAGTCTTACATAAACAGTACTATCTAGTAAGGGGAATTTAATTGTACTCTATAAATATGTCGCAAATATCGAATATATTTCAAAAAACGAAGATACGTCATATAGAGGGTTTCCTAACAAAAATAAACTTTTAAAATTGTTCCTAATAAGAATATATACAATGTAAAATAGAATGTAGTCTAAAATTGCAATGATTACAACGCTGGCTGTTAACCTTATCATGATAATTAAGCTGTTACTTAATTTAACACTCGCCAACCTTTAAGGTTATAGAATCGTTTCGTAATTATTTTGATTGATGAACAAAGAAATAAAAAAAGTTATGTCATATGATCAGAAAATAATCTAAAGCCAAATAAAAGTATGCAGTGGTGTGAAATAGCTAAGAATATCACGGTTTTTTAATAAAGTACTACTGCAAAAACTGCATAAGGTTTTTGTGAGATTTTAATTTAACTAAAATAAATCTACTAAATCTACAAAAATAGAATTATATTTAAAAGTAAAGTGATAACTAAACTAAAATCTGTACTGTACATAAAAATCAGAAAGTCTTTTTTTTAATTAGAATATGTCTTTGCAGTCATTCATTTAAGTCAGAGTTAGTAGAATTATTTATACATTTAAGTAGGCGTAGAACGGGATCTGGTTAGTTAATTATAATACGGGCAAATCCTAATTAGTTTCAAGACTTTCTACAATATTTTAGGTAAACTTTTCGTTAAATGCGTGTCTGTAATCCTTAATTGTTTATATAGCGCTATCACACCCTGTATTACTTTTAAAAATGATCTAGTATAAAATGAAACACAAAATGGTCAGAAGTCATATTTTAACTATGGTAATACATGAAAAATGCACCATATTTCAGTAACAGATATTCCTACTTTTTTTGAACACGCTGTATGATTTATTTTGCAAAGTGTAAGTTATCATGAACAAACTATATACAAGTGTATTACATGATATTAAATTTATAAAAAAAAAAACAAGAATTATTTAAGAGCGGTGGCGATATATTTGAAAATATGAATTCTGCACTCCTTACTTTTGAATCCTTCTATCAGCTCACCCTGTACAGCTGCAAACTTGGGGTCCATAAGATAGTTGCCTTTAAAGACCTAAAAAATAACATTAAAATTTGAACAAAATCTGACAGTACCTAAAATAAATGTAAAAAGTACGTGGTCCTTTTTATTTACAAACTGACCTGTGTAAATGTATTTTATAAATTATGTCAAAAGTAGTTTCAACCCATAAGTAGTTTTAAAACTATACGTATCTTTTTAAAATTTGTAATTCGCGTGATATTTAAAAAACAATAATGGTTTAAATCACGTTAAACAAGTAATTAAAAACATAAGAAATATCGATTTTGTTATAAAAATAAAAACAAATAAGATAATAACGTCTTAAATTTTTTTTTATTCATTGTGCTTAAAAGTCTGGTGGTCTAGACTTCTTATTTAAAGCCCTTTTCCCCTAGAACCGTCCTTTCTAAAATATTAAATAATCGAGTGACACCTCGTTTTAAAGCTCTTTTAATTATACGTCTCGATTGGTAGGTGAAAAATAACTTACGTTTCCTGAAACTTGAAGCAAAGTTAGACAGAAAATCAAAAGAACTCTCAAACTATCTTCATTAGTTCGTTTGGCAAAAGTATACAGACCTTGCAAGATCAAACCTACAGACATGCTTTATCTGTTAGAATGAAAATTGTTGAATAACGGTCGGTACATCGACGTTTTCCAACATCTCTTGCACATGCGACGCCATTCATTATTCATTCCAATACAGGCAAAGGAAAGATAGCCCAGAAGTTTCGCTGTTTCCAGCACAAAAACTACCTAAACTGTCAAATTAAAATTAATGCACCTGACTTATTTGAGATTTTTGGGAAACAGGTATTTCACTATTTATATATAAAGAAGATTTTAAAAGTGAGTTCTTTTTGTATAAGAAGAAAATTAACTATTAGCTCTATTAGCACAAGGCTTTCGGATGATTAAGTCCAAAAAAAGTGTCAATCCATTAGAAGATATGGGGAAAGCAAAATAAATGTTAAAGGAACCATCAGATAGAAGAGAATTTAAAATAAATGTGAAAAAAATTAATTGAATTTCAAACCAAGATGCTTTAATATTTAATACATAGAAATATCAAATCAAAAATTTTAAATAAATAAAATTAAAAAAGCCAACCGAGAAAGTCTCAATTTTTATAAAATTAAAAAAGCTATCCCTGAAAGTTTCAATTTTTATCATTTCCATTTGAACAATTCGAATTCTTGATTTTAAATTTCTTATTCCATCAAGTTTTCTTATTCAGCGGTAGGGAGACGTTGCAAACTTGTAAGGATGATGCAGAAAAAGTAAGATGGATGCCTATGTAAGAAAGGATGCCAGATTGATCTCTGCGGTCTAAAAAAGTTGAAAGGATCGGGGTTTAAGGGGTTGGTCCTACATTTGATGTCCAAATGTAGGACAAAAGACAAATAGTGTTAGGGCAGATCTTTTTCCCTCTGAATAAAGTTACATGCCAGTTTACTTGACAGATTAACAAACAATAGCCCTATAGTTTAATCAGCAAGTAGTTACTTTACTTTACTCAGAGGTGAAAAGACTGGCCCTAAAGGACCCCGCACTTTTTACATTAATTTTGGGTACTGGCAGAATTTGTTCAAATTTTAGTATGTTATTTTTCAGGTCATTAGGGGCAACTTTCTTATGGACTTCAAGTAAGCAGCTCTACAGGGTGAGTTGTTATAACGATTCAAAAGTAAGAAGTGCAGAATTAATATTTCCAAATATTTCTCCACCACTCTTTAGTAATTCTTGTTTTTTCCTTGAAACTTATTTCATGTGTTACCCTTGTATATAGTTTGTTAATGCTTACCTACACTTTGCAAAATAAATTATACAGCGTGTTCAAATAATTAGGAATATCAGTTACACTTTATTTATAAAATAAAATTCAAAAGAATCCCATTACTAGATATTACTGAACATGTCAGACTGATTCAAGAACTATATGCATTTGTACTCATATTTCAAGTGTTTTGTGGTACCTGGAATACGCACGATTCGAAAATTATACATGCTGTTGAAAGATGAGAAAGATTTTGAAGGTGTGTAAATAGTTAATGTATTTAATAAAACAGGTTTTTAAAACTGTAGTTTCTTTTGTATGGATTTATAATTTAGTGGAAGCCTAAAAATCTATGTAAAGAAACTGTAATATTTATATATTAATATTTGTCTTTCTGTCACATCCTTTATTATTAATTAATCTTATCTAGTATTTAATATAACAAATAAGTAATCACAAGTAATATTATAATTATGGTAATACATGAAAATGCACCTTATTTCTATAATTAATATTCCTATTTTTTAAACACTCTGTATGACTTATTTTAAAAAGTGACAGTAGGCATTAACAAGCCATATACAAAAGTAACTCATGCCATAAGTTTCATGAATAAAACATGAATTACTTAAGAGTGGTAAAGATATATATGAAAATATTAATTCTGCACTCCTTACTTTTGACTCATTCTGACAGCTCACCCTGTAGAGCTGCAAACTTGATGTCCATAAGAAAGTTGTCCATTATGACCTGAAAAGTAACATATTAAAATTTTAACAAATTCTGTCAGTACCCAAAATTAATGTAAAAAGTGCGGGGTCCTTTGTTAATTTTAATATAATTTGCTGTGTACATTAGAGGTGGGAAGTTCGAATTTTTTACTGAATTAATTCATTTGATTCATTCACCTAAAAAGATTCGTTCTTCAAGATTCGTTCTGAAGTGATTCACTTTAGCGAACCACGAACGATGTTATTATATATAAAATATTTATAACCAGATTTATTTTAAAGTAAAGCGAATTAATGTTTCATATTTCATAAAAAAAAAGGCAGCTGAATAATAAATACATCCTTGTCCGTTAAGATAAACAATAACACAATTTTTTTTTAAATGCCAAATATATAGCCAAAATTAACGCAAAATTATATATTCACGATTCTTCATTTTTTGTTTTAATTTTACTTTGATTTAAATTTATTTATCAGACAACACGCATAAATTGTTTACCTAAGCTTAATACACACCTCCTGTAAAGTGAGAAAAACATTAAAGACACATACCGCCACCGCCTGTCGGAGTTCTCGTATTATGCCGTAGAACGTAGAATAAAAGCGACCAATTTGCCGATGCCGATGTAAAATACCAAATCTTCGAATCCGAATCGAATGAACGAAGCAACTAAACTCGGAACTCGGCATGTTTGATCGATCGCAGAGCCATCGAGCAATTGACTCAAAAAAGATTCGAATCTTTTAAAAACAGGAAATCAATTCATTCGAGTCAGTGCACTGATTCGTTCTTTTTGAACGAATCGTTCATTTTGAACGACACACCTCTAGTGTACATACATAGTTTCAGCATATTTCGCTATTTTCATTACAAGAATTTCTCTTATTTTTCTTTTCATTTTATCAGTTCTTTCAAGCCGATTAAAGATTTGAAAATTTAAAAAAAAATTATCTAAAGTAATAATGTAAAAATAAATAAATGTATAAGAGACTACCTAAAATATACATATAATATAAATTCCCAAACTAAAAATAACTAGCTTAGAATGCTTTTTATCATTGTTACATATCTAGGAACAAATAAGTTTTTGAAATATAAAATACATCCAATGTCGCCTAGTATATCACGCTGGTTTGTTAAACAATTTTCATTTAGTTATAAGAAAATATAGGAAGAGGTACCCAAAAAAAACCGTAATTATTTATCTTGATCCGTATTCTCGAACCGAACGGCCTCCATAGGAGCAGCGGGCGTGGTTCTATTGAAATCGAAGTGTTTCGAGCAGAGACAAATGTCTCCACAGATGTATTGCATCAAACGAAGAGTGGTTTAAATATGGTTAAAATTTAAATATATTAAATAATTTTCTGATTTAATTTTGGGTCCCACTCTATCTTGATAAAAATGTACTGGAAATGACTTGCAAGTTGATTTTGAAAGACGGGTTAGATCACAGAAGGTATCACTTGTAAAAATGAATATTTATTAACTAGCAAGTATGTTTTTATTTACTTTTGTAAATAGTTTCCTTACCCGCACATCAGGGTAGTGGTTTGGTGCTGATAGATCACCAAACTCAAACATTCCTAATATTGATGGTTATTGTGTGGATTAGATTCGTTTTATGCGAAACAGAAAAATGGTTATTTTTTTATTGGTGCCTTTGGCTTCAACAACTAATGTCATTATAAATGATTATTATAATAATTACTGTTACTCTCGAATGAAGTGAACAATAAAAATAGCTGCGCCCACAGAGTCCCAACTAGTCCTATTGACACATAGGGCGGGTGACAGTAGAGAGAAAAAAGAAGAATACAACTGCACAAAAAGACCTAAAAAAATAATCAAAGAATACAAGCGGAAGAACTGACAAGAGGTATACGTAGAGCTAGAAGATATCTATGGAAGAAAGAATACAGCATAGCTACTTGAAAGTGGAGTATAACTCTAGTAGACCTAAGCAACAACCAGAAAACTCTTTCCGACCAGGGACACTACCACCCTAGCGGCAGATACAAGGAAGAAGAAAATGTATTACCAATTGAAGGATACAATAATTGTATGAAGACAAGCAAGTCCAGGAACGGATTCCGGATGGCATACTATACCACCAGAAGCAATCAAAGAGGTGTACCGAATAAGACCAGAGATGCTGCTAAAGTATTTAAACACAATACTAAGTAAAGAAGAATTCCAGGAGAAATGTAAAACGGCTAAATTGGTCTTAATACTAAAAAAAGAGACAGAAGATGCAGTAACATATATAGAACTATATGTTTATTAAAAACAATAAGTAAGCTCTACGAAGGTATGGTGATAAATAGATTGATAGAAGAAATACATAACGCGGAAAATCTAGCATATAACCAGGAGGATCGACCGTCCAGGCAGTAGAAAGGGTAAACGCGGACAGGAGCGAGAATGTAGATCGCTGAAGTGAAAAGAAGGAGAATATCCAGATACTTAATAAAAACAATAGAGAATTATCTCAAAGAGAGGATGCTGGCCATATGGGAGGAGAAACTACTCATTTCAACAGGAGTTCCACAGGGATCGGTACTCGGGCCAACTCCGAGGAACATAACTAACGATGGGTTCTTGAAAGTTGAACTATCAGAGGGGTGTGAGATAATCGGCTTGTGAGATAATCGGCTTTGCAGATGACCTAACCTTGTTTGTAACATCTGAAGGCGCCAGGGGTCTAGAAGACAGGCGAACAAAGCGCTAGATAGAATAGTTACATGTATGGAGAATACACAATTAGAATTGGCACCAGAAAAAAGTGAAATGGGCCCACTGGTAGAAGGCGAAAACGAAAGCTGGTAGAATAAGGATACACGACACATTGGTGGCCCCAATAAGGCAAGTAAAATACCTTGGCATAGTCATAGACGACGTAGACAGCTTCATAGCCCACATTAAGGAGGTGGCAAGGAAAGACAACGACAGGATTAACAAAGTAGCCAGGATTAAGCTAAACGTTGGAAGCCCCAAGAGCCAAAAATCGAGAACTACTCATAGAGTTAATTCACTATATTCTGCTTTATGTGGCATCACTGTGAAACGGGGCGATGAACGTCAAATGCTACATGGAAACTATGGAATCCACACAAAGATAAGTGACACTGAAGCGAGGCATCAGCACACAGAATAGTATTACTTGTGGCAACCCAAGTTATAACTGGAACTGTACTAATACATCTCCTAATAAAAGAAGGAAACAACGAATGTGCCAAAAAATGAATGCCATAAAATTAATTCCCAATTCAAAGTTTGATTATCAACCATTTTATATTTAATAATTAATATTAATGGCAGTCATTCAAAAACGTAATTTTTATTTAAATAATTAATGGTAGAAGATAAATTTTTCTTTGTAATTCGGATCATAAATAATTATTATGGCATTTATAGCACACGCCACCATGTACCTCCTTGTATTTGCAATTGCAATATTTAACTTTGTATCTCACTGCACAAAAATACTTTGATGTGAAAACTTGTTTTATCCCAACAAAATTTCTATGGGACTTTTCAAATTTTTGTTGTCTCTATAATATTTTTTAAACATTTTTTTCGTTGGGAAATCATTTATAAATAAAGGTACTTAACAAGCATTTTCAGTACATTGTTCAAGTTATTTTTCGACAATATCGCTTTCTTTTATATCATACTTACCTAAATTATTCAGATCTATGTAAATAGTAACTATAAGAAGGGATTATTACATATTACAAGAAATATAGTTTTTGCATGATCTAATAATGTTAGGCGCTAATATCGTCAGCGTTAACTTGGCAGCTACCCATCCACAATAGCTATTTCCAATAACGGAAACGCTATTAAGTCGGGAACTTTTAAGGTCGAATTTAGTCCCAATTAGTAACTTTTTAGGTCTACAATCAGTACTGTTGTCAACTCTGTACGCGTCATTTCTGTCAAAAGTCAACAAAAGAGTCTCGTTATTGGCGATTCAAGCTAAGCGATACTTCCTCTGGGGGTACATTTTATAATATATGTAAGTAGGCTAAGTGTTGCCGTTGTTATTAAAATTGTAACAAATCTATGACTATTTTATTAAATCGGAAATCAAAAATATAATACCGAATCTCATAATTTCAGTGACAAATGTATCAGCGGAAACTGCTGTAAATAAATCTTAACTTGATACTAGCAATGACGTCTATTGGTTTAAAATTTTATTACAAATAAATTAATTGGCATGACGATACTGTAGTGTTTTACCTACTTAAATTAATTTAAATCGCGCATTATTGTTTAGCATCAGTGATATGGTAACCTAGGGATAAGATACGAGAAGGTGCAAAGTGGGGTCGGTTCGTTATTTTGCTATGCTACATTTGTCAATTTTATAGGTTATAATTCTAGTGTCGTGTGTAATTAAATTAAATTTTTATTTTTTGAACGATTTGTCTGTCATAATGTGTGTAATGCCTAGTTGTGTAATACATTTATACTCTAACTATAAGGTGACGGTAAACAATACGACACAATTTTCACTATTTTCGCATAATTTCTTAATGCAAATGATACTACTTATTATTTTTGATTAATTTACCTGCGGAAAATTCAATATTATCATAATTAATATAAAAACATTGTGTATTAATCACAAAATAAACCATTTTTTGATATAACCTCAATTTTGTTAAAAGGCATCTTTATTATTTTCTATAGCTGTTGACAATTTTTTACGTGCATGTATTTGATAAAATATCGGACAATCGATAACACTATCGATGATCAATCGAATGTCAAATCCATAAAAATTATTAATTTGTTTTATTTCTCTTCCTAAAAAAACTCTTTTACGTTTAATTTCCAGCCATATCAGGCGATTTATATATCCATTTTGATTGAATTGTAGTAAATATTGACTATATTGACAAGAAAAGTGCACAGTAACAGTAATATAATTCCAAGTGGTTCAACGGCAAAGACAGGAGAGGTCCAGGAAGCTATTTAGGAATTCAGGAGGTGGCATTGAAAACAACGAGAAGGCAGAGAAGGATCTTTTTATAAAATTAGACTTAATTTAATACAATTTTCGTTTAAACATTCTTTAAAACTTTCATGTTAATAAAAACTGTATTTATTAAAAATACCTGTAAAGACAATTGATTTTTTCCAATTCAAATATTAAGATTTACTTATCCAAAAAAATGCAAGTAAAAATTTGTAAATCCGGACCTGAATTAGGTTACCATATCACTGTTTAGCACTTACTGATGATAAATTTCATGTTTCTTTTTTGTAAATATATTTTTATGAAATTTAACGGATGTGTGTACTATAGTCTTAATAAAAAGTAGATTATTTAAAAATTAAACAGATTTACGATTTTTCTGTCACATAACGCTTACCAAAATGAAACGTAAATAACGATCACATTAATAGCGCCTAACGTTATCACTTTTGCGAAACCATATTCAAATGTAAATGTACAAACTCCTATTGTAAAGATATTTTTTAATATGTCAATGACTTTTTTTTGTATCGATGGAAAAGGTATATTTAACTAAATTGTTTCATACAATTTAGAAATTCCTAAAGGAAAAACGAACAACCTGTGTAATGGAACGGGTGCTGTTTGATTTTAAAACAAATTACGAGGGCCATTCAAATATAAACTGGTCTTTTGACAGGCAGATGAGTGATCATAGCAAGTTGTACATACGCAGGGAGACGTGTACAAGTAACAGCACTTTCACCAAATTGGCATGAAATTGTATGCCAATCCGGTGAGAACATGTAGAAAATACCCTCGTAATATCTATTTAAAAACAAAACTAATAGAATAATTTTCCAAGATTATTTCTTCCTAATAGAACAGGAATTGTGCTCTTAAAAAACTATACAATTATTTTCCTGTATAAAATTTTTTTTTTGAATCTTTATATCTAAAAAACAGCTTTATGACACACGATCCACAAGATCGTTGTTCAAAATTCATGAAGATGACATTTGACAAGCATGACATAATTTGGCAATCTATTTAAGAGGTTAAATTAAGTTCTCAAAATGGTAAATCGATTAACTTTAAAATATATAGAGTTTCTATTTACAAGTACCTAACAACTAAATACTTATTTTTTAATTCCATCTACGGACATTGGATTTTTTCCAGCCTCGCGTATGTTTTTAACACTTTCCTATTTTTGGCTTTCTCGCTTTTTCTCGAGAACTTCGATGGTATATTGTACTCGTCCAGAACGGCTTTTCGTTTGTTCGTTCTACCTAGAATGATGAATTTGATCGCGTCCGGCATATCATCTATCTCGTACATGGCATCGTGTGGACTCGTACCGAAAAAGTTTTTGATTTTAGTGCACGCGTTGAATTGGAGTAAAAGTTCCACCATAGCAACTAAAAAAAAATATAAACAGTAGGTATAATGAACCACCGTGAACTATAAAACCAAAGGAAAACGTGGCTAAAATTGATCAGAGTTACGAGTAAAAATCGGCTGGGTTCGCTAGTGAACATTATCGATATTCTTACCCAACTTTTGAACTGTTATAAATTGACGCTCATAGGGATCCGAAATTAAGATCGCAGCGCCACCAAATACATTCGCCGGAACCATTTATTTATAAATTATTAGGCATTCCAAACAAAATAACTGGAAATTTCACATAAATTAATATTCAATAAGTGCTAATAAGGCAATTGTTTTGAGAACAAACATAAAAATATAGACATGAAAACAAAGAAGAAAAAATATATATAAATATAACATAAAATGAATGTATCATAAAAAATATAGATAATATATTATGTAGGAGACAAACACAATTAAAATACCTACACTTAACCAAAAAGATATCGAAACGTTGATATGCACAATGCAAAGAAAAATCAATTGTTTAAAATAATATTGTTTGTATTTTTTCTGTTTTGATTATTTTTTTAAATTGACTTCAAGTATACGGACCGTGCGTCATGATTTTAACGCCAACTGGTGACAAAAATGTGAACTTTATGGGGGATTTATTAGTTTTATATGTCATTTAATGTTTAGTAATTATTAATTAAATAAATTCGAATTATTTTCGTAATATCATTATCGAAAAAACTTGTTGCATCACTTCGGAAACGTGGATTTAATTCATTAGTAAAGAAATTTTATATATTTTCACAGAACACCCTTGGGTGTCTCACACCCAATGATATACATAGTTACATAGATTGCTTATCCATATGTAAATCAGACGACGAAAAGCGTATTTTACTGGGCGAAGTTTTCTTTTTATCTTTACATGTTTTGTATTAATTTTGAGCACTCAGTTGTAAAGAAATATAATTTTACAGATAAACAAATGAATGGTTTATTTTGTTAATTAAAAGTAATGTCGGGTGTTACTATTAAATTGGAATATCCAATTTGATAAAAATATCATGATCCTATTTACTATTTATTTACTATTTATTTACTATTTATTTACTATTTATTTACTATTTATTTACTATTTATTTACTATTTATTTACTATTTATTTACTATTTATTTACTATTTATTTACTATTTATTTACTATTTATTTACTATTTATTTACTATTTATTTACTATTTATTTACTATTTATTTACTATTTATTTACTATTTATTTACTATTTATTTACTATTTATTTATTTACTATTTATTTACTATTTATTTACTATTTATTTACTATTTATTTACTATTTATTTACTATTTATTTACTATTTATTTACTATTTATTTACTATTTATTTACTATTTGTTTACTATTTATTTACTATTTATTTACTATTTATTTACTATTTATTTACTATTTATTTACTATTTATTTACTATTTATTTACTATTTATTTACTATTTATTTACTATTTATTTACTATTTATTTACTATTTATTTACTATTTATTTACTATTTATTTACTATTTATTTACTATTTATTTACTATTTATTTACTATTTATTTACTATTTATTTACTATTTATTTACTATTTATTTACTATTTATTTACTATTTATTTACTATTTATTTACTATTTATTTACTATTTATTTACTATTTATTTACTATTTATTTACTATTTATTTACTATTTATTTATTATTTATTTACTATTTATTTCCTAATTTTCATTTATTACTAAAATAAACAAACTATAATTAAGACATTGCAATTACTGTCAAAAGAGATTGCAACAAACTTTAAAATACTTAAAATCTAGTGATTTTTTGTAAAATTTTAGTAACATTAATCAGAATAGATAAGAATCCAATTACATCTCTTAACAAAGTTGTTTACGACTCACATTTATCAAAGTTAATTACATTACATTTTCAAAGTTGTATTACATATTGTAATTATTTGTTTTATATAGTGTTATTTCTAAAACGAGAGTGGTCTAAAATTATTTACATCCATCTGTTATAAAAATTGTTTAGATCTCTTAGAAACTTAACTTTCACAATACTTAACATAATCTTTTTCTAAAGATCCAAATGCTGAAATTTTATTTTAAAACACATTTGGGCTATTCAGTGGTCACTGGGAAAGGTAGATGAATGATATTTCAACTAACATCAAGCTAAAAACAATATTTTTATTATTCTCAAGCTTATTTATTAATTTATATTTTGACATTGTAAACGTTGGATACACTGGTTTAAGGTATAACTTTACAATTTATTGTCTCTTAGCCATTTAAATCTTTTTCCTCAAAATTTATATAGATGTCCAGATTTTAATAATTTTTTCACATTTTATATAATTTTGCCCATGTAAACGATTGTTTGTTACGAGCCGGTATCTATATTTATTATTTAAAAAAATATCCTTTATTTTACTTGCAATGTTTACCCCAATTAATTCTAAAATTAAACACTAGAGAGGGCTAACTTCGGCAGTAGTGCTGCCTCTATATTTCACGCACGGTCCCTATTACATTTTATCTCAACTGGGAGGGTATTATAAATGTTGAACCTAGATACAAATACGAGCGATGTCCCACTGATTTCTGAGTACGAGGAACAATATAAAGATGTTTTTGCCTTGTCTTATATGGATAATCTGGTAAGATAAAAAGATTTGAATGGCATTTAATTTGCCTTAACAAACAATGAGTTTATAGGATACCATAGGACCTTTTAAGCATTATTTTTAGGAAACTTTTTTGTAGAACTTCAAGTGGTTGTAAACGTCTTTGTGAAGTACAACCTCACATAATGAAAGGAATGAAGGGTTAGTATATCTAGGAGGTTGCGACATACGATGTATTCTATCTACAACATGCGACATCATGAATAATGGATTAAATTTAAATATTTTATGTCGATCAATAAAAATATTATTAAAAAAAGAAAATCGCTCATAAATTGGCAGGCTTGGCGACTACTATTTCGAATAAAAATAGCATCCAAGATGGAAGGCTATGTCGCAACTTCCTTAGATATATGAGCCCTTTCCACTAGCAGCTATTGTTTGACAGATCGTTGGAATGCCTAATTGCAGACAGCTGCTGGCATTTGTTTACATGTGTGAAGAAACTGTTTTCATCATATTTTTCTTTTTTATATTATAAAAAGAATATTAGTCTAAGTTATGAATAAATTAATTTTTAGCCAAAATATCCAATTTTAAGGAAATTCCCGAAACAGGCCGATTGTTAATTTCTATTTACAACATTTAAACAAAAAGTTTATACAGGGTGTCCCATTAGTGCGTAATTGCTCAATAAATCAATTTATGTTATAGATACACAAACAAGTTTCAAATAAAAGTTATATGAATTTGAAAAAAGGCCTATTTTGAAAATAATTGTTGCTATACGGGATAGTACTCTGTTGCCTTACAAATAAAAATGTATATTGTTACGTTATAAAATAATTAAATAATAAGTCACTTAAATAAATAAATTTCAGACACCCAGTGCATCGACAAATCTATTTAACAAAACATTTTAATTATCAGCAGTTTTTATAATCTAAGCAATTAGGCAATAGGAAAAGACTGGGGAATTCAGAGGCGATACTGGGTCATTCTTGCATGGGGCATCGGTCTGGAGTCACCGATCGGGTGAAAAGTTAAAAGGAAGTGTTGTGCCTCCTCAGTGAAGAAACGGTGCCCTGAAAAATGTAAGTACATTTTTCCGTTATTGCTATTATATATTTCGTTTGTGGAAAATATATTTGCTTTTGTTAATCGTCTCATCTTTTTGTGTTCTCCTCTATCCCGTTCTGGTAGTTAGTAGCTGCGCTGACGAGGTTAATAAACACTTCCTAGTATGTTGTTTTGACACGTTTAATTTGTGATGATAAGGACTATGGTGTCCTGTTTAATCTAACAAAATGTCCAGTTTGATTGGGATTTATGGTTTTTTTTTTAACCCCGTCAGCGCAGCCACTTACTATCAGAACAGGATAGAGGAGAACACAGAAAGATTAAACGATTAAAAAAAAACAAATATATCTTCCACAAACGAAATATATAATGACAATAACGGAAAAATCTACTTACATTTTCAGGACACCCTTTCTTCACTGAGGGGGCACACCACTTCCTTTTACCTTTTCACCTGATCGGTGACCCCAGATTCTCCATGCAAGAATGACCCCGTATTACCTCTGAATTCCCCAAAGTCATTTCATATTCCCTAATTGCTTAGATTATAAAAACTGCTGATAATTAAAATGTTTTGTTAACGGATTTGTCCATGTACTGGATGTTTAAAATTTATTTAAGTGATTTATTATTTATTTATTTATTTATTTTATAACGTAACAATATATTTTAAATGTTTTAGAATGGCCTAGTAAAACTGTATTCAACACTAAAATATTTTAAAAAATATTACAGGGTTGCCAAGAAATTAATTTTTGTGAAATTAAAGAATAATGCAGGCCTCAAATAAAATTATCATAATTTAGGTAAGTTAGCAATGATTTCAAAATTGTTTAAAATGCAGACTTATAGTGATGATAAGTCAAAAACGAAAAACGATATCAGGAAAAATCAAGCTCTATAAGGGAACAAACCCTATTGATTTTGAATAAAATCTGATCAAGGAAAGTTGAAATTAAAAAAAAATCCTAAATCAAAAACTAAAAGCGATATTAACATCAAATTTTTATTAAAAATCAAGCTCTATAAGAAATAGAAGCCTATTGATTCTAAAAAAATTGAATACATTGAATAAGGTTAAAATATTAAAAAAAAATCCTAACTCAGAAACAAAAACATCAAAATGAAATATTCACGAAAACTCAAGCTTTATAAGGTGATGAATCCTATTGATTCTGAAAAAAAATTGAATAAAAATTAGGGGATAAGGGGGGTTAAAATATTTAAAAAAAATCCTAACTGACAAACAAAAAATATCAACTTTAAATTTTTAGCAAA